TTTGATCAGTACATGCCTCGTATCCAACACCCCAATCATACAGTCACTTTTTATTCCACATTGTCCAGTGATTGTTTTCCTCAATTCTTGCACATCTGGTTTTCCATACGAAAATTTGCCTATAATGGCATACTGCAAATTTTCTTGAATGATGAGCGATTTAACTTTTGATGATTTCCAGGTAATATTGGGTTCCCCATGTACCATTGTCAGTGGCTTTGGTGGGACTTTAGGTGCTTGTGGTAATATGGGATGGGGCTTCAATAAATCTGCATAGTAGCTGTTTCGGGGACCAATAGGGATTGGCACTGCTCCTGGTTTATCTTTGTTCGGTAAAGGTGGGAAATCCTCCAGTGGGCTACTCCCACCGTCGGTGGTAGCAGCCATGGTGTCTGCCACAATTGCTAGGTTTTAAAAATATTTGCACTTTTAAGTTTACTGGAAAAGAGACGTAAAAAGCTAGTCAAGTCTCTCTGGTGGTGGAATTAGAATGTTGAATTAGATTTACTAATGCACTCTCCCTTATTTCATTTCCTTTTTATTTGGGACATGTTTTTCTATATATAGGGCATGTAAACCTCATTTTTTGGGGTTGGACCCTATTACTTTAGTTATAGTTTTTGGCTTTGGAGATTAATTTGCAACTTTAGTAATTCTTGATTTCCTAAGTTGGTTTTAAAGAGTTTTACTTTGAAATTCAAGTTGAGATTTTGGGTTTCTTCTACTTATTACGTAAGTTCATGATTTCTTCATCTAAAAATATGAATTGTGTTCTTGCTACTATGGGTACCTAATTCCACAAATAGGGTTGTGGGAACCATGAGTGATTAACAAAGTATGAATAGTAACTAAGTAATTCTTGAATAGTGTTGTTGCATGCATTGATAATTATTTCGTTTAAAATTCCTTTTAACGGTGGCCAACATTAGAACTCGCCTTGTTGCTACTTGTCGAACTAAGGAGGTAGTTAATAGGAAAAGAATTATCAACATAGATTTAGTGTGATACTATCTAATAGTCTAATGTCAATTGGTGCAAGGGTGAAAACTAAGCCATACATTGATGTGATGTCTAATATGAGGTAAAGGTAAGGGTTAGTAAATTATACACACGACCAAGGTGCGGGGTGAAATTCTCTAGTTGCCGGACCAAGGAATTAGAGATACATAACTTATCACTTTGCATGTAATACACTAGGAAATGATTACTATTACTAGGATTACCGCGTTATGTGCTTATGGGGAACACATACACCCTAGTTTCTCTCTCTCATTGATAACAACAAAGTTTGAATCTTGCTCAGTAATTATTCACATAATTTCTAGAATTTGTTTCACAAATCCTCCCCCCATTTAATTACTTTTTTCGGAAGTACGTTGACTAAACGAATATAATCGTAAGTTAAGTTTAAGTCTAAACCATATTCCTCATGGGATCGACCCCAAACTCCAAGTTGGGTTCTTTGCTTGATAACGATCGCTTATACTTCTTTAGGGAGGTGTAATTAGAGCGTATCATACAACCTTTCACCCACAAACTGATGGGCAAGCGAAGCATACTATCCAAACTTTGGAAGATATGATGAGAGCATACGTAATTGACTTCAAAGGTAATTGGGATGACCATTTGTCTTTGATTGAGTTTGCATATAGCAGTATCTATCACTCAAGTATTGGAATGTCTCAATTTGAGGCTTTATATGGTAGGAGGTGTAGATCTCCTATAGGTTGGTTTGAAGTGGGTGAGGTTGCTTTGATAGGTCCCGAGTTGGTACATGAGGCTATGGAGAAAGCTCGACTTAATAGAGAAAAGTTGAAAATGGCCCAAAGTTGACAAAAGTCTAATGCCTATGTTAGAAGAAGAGATTTTGAGTTAGATGTTCATGATTGGTTCTCCTTGAAAATATTACCCATGAAGGGTGTCATGAGGTTTGGTAAGAAAGGGAAGCTTAGTCCCTGTTATGTGGGCCCTTATAATATTTTGAGGCGGATTGGTAAGGTTGCTTATGAAATTGCAGTTACTAAAGAATTGGCATTGGTACATCTAGTTTTCCATGTTTCATTGTTGAAAAAGTGTGTTGGAGATCCAACATCTTTAGTTCCCTTAGGAGGATTAGATGTTGAGGAAAATCTTTCTTATGAGGAAGTTTTGGTTGAGATTTTAGACCAGCAGGTTAAGAAGTTAAGAAATAAATAAGTTGCTTTCGTGAAAGTTCTTTGGAGGAATTAGTTGGTTGAGGGTGCTACTTGGGAAGCCGAGGCCAATATGATATCCCTGTATCCTTATCTCTTTCCCTCTGTTCCTACTCTAGCTTGAGGTATCTAGCTCCTCATGGTCCACTTTCTTGGTGTCTTGTATCTTAGATATTCTTATGATTTTCTCATTATGAATGTTCATGAAAGGGTTAAATTTTGAGAAAATGAGTTTACTTGATTGATTGTTACTTGTTTATGTGCTTTCAGTATGAGTTGCATATATATTTCATGATATGATGGTTTGAACATTTTTATCTTGGAGTTTATGTTTCCTCATCGAATATGTGCATATATGTGATTGCACTCATGATGGGCTGTTATATTGAGTTGCTACCTTCCTTATGATGCTTTAAATCTCATTCGAGGACGAATATTTCCAAGGGGGAGATATTGTAACACCTCAAATTAGAGAAAGGGCTAAAAGGGGGTAATGGGGAAGAAATCACATGTCAACACTTGAACCATGGAGCCCTAGACTGGTCGTGAAAGGGACCACAATTCGTGTGGTGGCCCGTGGAAATTCCCCCAAGGTAGGATAAGCAATCCCCCTCCTATGAGGGCCTTAACAACTCGTGTGGAGGTGGACAGGTCGTTATGACGCCCGTGTGGGTGAGACAGAACCAACCCAAGAGTTGTCATCCTCCCACGATCCCCTGATGAGTCCACAAATTGGACTCATTTGGGGATTTGTTTTAATGGAAATAGTGTCCTTGAATGCTTGTTTTACCTCAATATCTAATTAAAATGCTGAAGTTTCAGGTATTTGAAGTTTTAGTGGAAGCATGGACACTTAGGCGCAAAACGGAGCAAATAGGGCTGAAAAGAACAAGAAATGGAATCATGCGGATCTCCAAGTTTAACATGGCGAGTCGCCGAAATGACATAAGCCGCCCTTCATTCCAGTATGCGAAGGCTTGAAGGAAGTGAATCAAAAGGCGAGGAAAGGAGCAGTCAGCGGGTCGCCGATCAGTTCCGCGAAGCAGTACTGTACCGCCCAATGATCCAGAATGCAAGGATGCTAAAGGCAAGACACTGAAGGCGATGAGCTGACCAAAAGGCGAATCGCCGAGTTCATCGGTGATCTCGACTAATGTCGCCGAACAATCCTCTACAACACAATCTGTGAAAACTATAAATACTATTTAGAGTTGTAGTCTTAAAGGAGATTGGAGTGTGCAACAATTATTATTATTATTTTCACTTTAGAACATATTCTAGCTAATATTTTCTCTCAAGTTTGGAGAGGGTTTTGTGGAGACTTGAAGAAAGGAGTTCTTCTTCCCCAAGTTGGAAGTGGGTCTTATCTATTCACTTCCCTTTGCTTAATTCAAGGTTTAGTCTCTTATACCTAGTTGATTTTATTATCATGTTAGGTATAATTTCTTATTTCTTGATGTGTGGCTAAAAAACCCCATTCTTGGGGTGTAATTTAGCAAATATGGGTTGATATTCTTGTTGGGTCTTGCTTGCTGATAGGTTAGATGTATGTTAATGGTGATTTCACCTAGTGGTTGTGGTTTAATCTAAAGGGTTTGTAGTTGCAAATACAAAGCCACCCATGTGTTTTCGGCTTGCCCGAGATGGAGATCGCGAAACCAAAACCACTAGACTGATGGCCTAAGGAGTGGGTCGACATGAGGTTCAGCCCGAGAGGGTGAGCTCTAGTCCCATATCCTAACACTCAGCTCAAGAGAGTGAGTGGGGTAAGGCGTAGGCTGGTCTTCATGCGGCAAATGGGTGTCCGAGAGGAACGCATTTGAAATGTGGTAAGTTTCCCGAGAGGGAACTTATTTCCATTTAAAGCTTAGCCTAGTCACTATTATCTTGAGAATTTCCTATTGAAAGCATGTACCCAGCGATTTATCTCAACTTGTATTGCGGTTACATCCCAAGAACCTTTCCCCATACTTGATTTTCTTATTTATTTTACTATTTTAGCACTTGTTACAAAACCCCAATTTGATATTTGACACTTTCATATCACCCCCTTTAATTTACTATGTCTTTTATCGCAAACGTCTTTAACTACGACTAACTTGAATGAAATTCTATTTGGTTATTAATTCTCAAAAACCGCTCCCTTGGGACACGACCCCAACTCTCGGTTGGGTTACTATATTATCGACGATCGTAGACACTCATACCGTAGGTCAGTGTCGTTGGTCACGATAAGCATCAAAATGGCGCCGCTGCCGTGGAGTGGTGTTATTTGAAAGTTTGTAGTTAATAAAAATTCTTGTTTTTCTTAGTTTTAGCTTTACTGACTTAATTTTTAGCTTTGCCTTGCTTGTTTGTGTTGAAAACAGAAATTATGAGTGAGGACGTGGGGGATAGTTTCCATGCAAACAACCCATTGAACACTGACTTGCACCGAGATGACATTGACGATGCAAACAGTGTTTATGACCCCGCTCCATTGGGTGAGATAGGTGCAATTCGTTTGCCGCAGGGTGGTGGAAACGGAATTTTTGAAGTCACCAGCATAACACTCCATCTCATACATTCAAGGGGCCTATACGGAGGATTGGATCATGAAGATTCACATGAACATATCCAAAGCTTTTTGGATGTATGTGCCCCATTTTCATTCCAAAATTGATCACACGAAGACATTAAGTTTCGCTTATTCCCATTGTTACTAACAGGAGCTTCCACTACGTGGTTGTCTGAGCTTCCCAAAAGTTTTATCACATCATGGAAAGAATTAGTCACTGCTTTCCACAATAGATTCTTTCCCCGTCAAAAATGATGAAGTTGAGAAACGACATTCAGAATTTCAAACAAAAAGCGAGTGAACCAATTCATGAGTCGTGGATTAGATATAAGAGGTCTCTGCGGAAATGCCCAACACATGGGCTGCCAAGTAACTTGCTACTCCAATATTTTTACCGAAGTCTTGATTCAGTCAACAAAGGGATAGCTGATCAATTGGTCCAAGGCGGCATAATGCTACAACCCTTTGAGGTGGCTTCATTTCTCCTAGATGGTATGGTGAGAGTAAATCAAGCTTGGTACGCCAAAGAAGATCAAGTCTCTCATCTGTGTTTCAGTCTGACGCAAGAGCAACTCGATAAAGAAAAAGAGAGGGATGAAAACATCAAAAAGATGTTGTCACAGATGGAAGATCTACAAGAGCACAGGAAAGGCAACTGTAAAGTGTTTCGCGCAGAGGGGGTTCTTTTTTTGATAACTTGAAATTGGGAGGGACTCAAGGTCGGAACCACAGAAGGAATGAAGAGGGTTTCCACCTGCACTATCAATCACGGGTTGGAAATCAAGGTTGGAACCACCCTAGAGGTGAAGGACCTTGGCGATATTTCCAAGAGTTGACTGAGCATGACGATTGTGAAGAATACCAAACTCAATTGAGTGACTTCCCGACATCAAGGGGGAGCGACAGCAGCCCTAGGGTGAATGATCTACTGACAAAAATTCTTGAGAAAGTTGAAGGTTCTGATGATTTGCTAAAGGGAATGAGAGATGATTTTTCTTTACTAAATAGCAAGGTGAACTCTCATGCTAATGCCATCAAGATGCTAGAAGGTCAATTGAATCTCTTATCGGCTCAACTAACAACCAAGATGTCAAAGGAAAATGAGGAAGAAGAGCTAGCTATAATTACCCGTAGCGGGAAGATAGCGATAGGTAACGAAGGAGAAGAACGTGAAGAAAATCAGGGTGAGGAAGAAGCAGAAGTTACCGATCATCAAAACATCGGCAAGAAAGCACAAGAAGAAATGAATCAACACAATGAGACTTCAAAAATAATACAACCCTTACCCAAAATACATCCACATTTTCCCCATCGTTTGAAAAAGAAGAATGAAGATGAGAGGTTTAAAATATTCTTGTCTGTGTTCAAGAAATTGTCCATCAACCTTCCTTTGGTGGAAGCATTGCTGGAGATGCCAGGATATGCTAAATTCATGAAAGAGTTAGTCACCAAGAAGAGGATCTTGGATTATGAAACGATTGAAGTACCTCATAGTTGCAGTGCGATCATGACAAATGAGTTAATCACTAAAAGGGACGACCCTGGTGCTTTCACCATCCCATGTACTATTGGAATGCTCCAATTTGCCAAGGATTTATGTGACCTAGGAGCAAGCATCAACCTGATGCCATACGCCATATACAAGCAACTTGGATTGGGAGAACCAAAGGCATCTACCATGAGACTTCTCATGGCAGATTGATCGATCAAGAATCCTATTGGGATCCTCTACGATATCTTGGTCAAAATGGATTGATTTATATTTCCAGCTGACTTTGTGATTTTAGATTGTGACATTGATGTTGAGGTCCCCATTATTTTGGGAAGGCCATTCTTAGCAACTGGCAGAGTATTAGTGGATGTTGAAATCGGCAAGTTGAAATTCCGTGTGAATGACAATGAGGTAACTTTTAACATCTGCAAGTCCATGAAGCAACCAAGTGATATCCATGTAGTGTCTACTGAAGATGTTATAGATGAGGCAGTGGCAAGTGTGAGCCATCTGCTGCGCAAGAATGAGCCTCTTGAGTCAATACTTGCAAATCATGACGATTAAGAAATTTAGGAATATGATGAAATGATCGCAGCCCTAACAGGGTTAGGAGTGCATGCACGAAATCCAATTAAGTTGGATATCGACCTAAAAAACCGATGCAGCCCACCTGCAAAGCCATCAGTTAAAGAGCCGCCAACTCTAGAGCTAAAAGTACTCCCATCCTATCTCAAGTATGTTTTCTTGGGAACTAACAACACTCTGTCAGTGATTATCGCAACAAATCTGAGTGAAAGGCAGGTAAAAGTGCTTGTTGAAGTACTGCAGAAGCACATAAAAGCGATCGGATGGACCATAGCTGATATCGTAGGCATTTCGCCCGGTATCTGCACCCATAAGATTCGGCTGGACATTGAATGCAGACCTAGTGTTGAGCATCAGCGAAGGTTGAACCTCCCGATGCAAGAGGTAGTAAAAAAGGAGATCATCAAGTGGCTTGATGCTGGAGTAATCTATCCGATTTCAGACAACAAATGGGTCAGCTCAGTGCAATGCGTACCAAAAAAGGGTGGCATAACAGTGGTCCCAAATGCTAAAAGGAGAGCTTGTGCCGACTAGACCTGTAACATGATGGAGGGTGTGCATGGATTATCGAAAGCTAAATTCATGTACTGAAAAAAACCATTTTCCAATGCCCTTCATGGACCAGATGCTTGACAGGTTATCAGAGAGAGGCTGGTATTGTTTTTGGATGGATACTCTAGATACAACCAGATATCAATCGCACCAGAAGATCAAGAGAAAACTAATTTCACATGCCCTTATGGTACCTTTGCATTCAAAAGGATGCCATTCGGACTTTGTAATGCACCGGCAACTTTTCAACGATGCATGTTGTCCATCTTTGCAGATATGGTTGAGGACTCTCTGGAAGTTTTCATGGATGATTTCTCGATCGTGGGGGACACATTCGAAGAATGCTTGACACATTTAGAGCGAGTTCTTCAAAGGTGTGTGGAAACTAATCTAGTCCTAAATTGGGAGAAATACCATTTCATGGTGAAAGAAGGCATTGTTCTTGGGCATAAAATGTCGCAGCAAGGGTTGGAAGTTGACAAAGAAAAAATGGAAGTTATCGAGAAACTACCACCGCCGATCTCAGTAAAGGGGATTTGCAGTTTCTTGGGTCATGCAGGCTTCTACCAGAGATTCATTAAGGATTTCTCAAAGATTGCACAACCATTGTGCAAACTCTTAGAGAAGGAAGTGAAATTCTACTTTGATGACGTTTGTATGGCAACATTTAAATGTTTGAAGGGGAAATTGATATCCACACCAGTTATCATCAGCCCCAATTGATCAGAACCATTCGAAGTGATGTGTGATGCGAGTGGTGTGGCATTAGGTGTAGTGTTGGGACAAAAGCGTACCAAACTGTTTCACCCAATCTATTACGCAAGCAAGACTCTAAATAGTGCCCAGCGAAATTACACAGTCACTGAACAAGAGTTGCTAGTAGTGGTCTATGCTTTCGAAAAGTTTCGAGCATACTTGCTAGGCACTAAAGTAGTTGTTCATACAGACCATGCAGCACTCCGATACCTCATGGCAAAAAAGGACGCGAAGCCAAGACTGATAAGATGGGTGCTACTCTTGCAAGAATTCAATTTGGAGTAAAAGATCGAAAAGGTTGCGAGAATCAAGTTGCAGATCACCTATCACGGTTAGAGAATAAAGCAGGTATTGAGCAGGAAAAAGAGATAAATGACTCATTCCTAGAGGAGCATATATTTACACTGTCACTCACACACGTACCATGGTATGCTGACTTTGCAAACTACATCGTATGTGGGTTGATTCCCGATGAGTTAAACTCTTACCAACGATAGAGGTTTCTATTTGATGTTAAAAGATACTTCTGGGACAAGCCATACTTATTTCGGGAATGTGCTGATCATGTCATAAGAAGGTGTGTTCCGAAAGAAGAATCAACAGACATCCTCCATGCCTGCCACACATCATATCATATTGGAAACTGGAGCGCAACAAAGATTTTCCAAAGTGGTTATTATGGGCCTTCTCTTTACAAAGATGCCCACGATTTTGCAAAGAGATGTCCTCA